CTGCAACTTTGCTTAGAAGCCCTCTTCACTGGACTATGACCGAAGACACCCTTCCTCTTCTTTGATGGACCCCATCAGCCCCCAGCAGACCAGGTTTCTCAAAGCAAGTCCCATGATCCCAGTAGCTGAATCCTTGGCTGTGGTACCAGCCCTGTAACCAACTTTTGACCTGCCAGATTTGACTGGCTCTTTCAAATCCCTTCCCCTTTGATTGGGAGGACTGATGAAAAAACTACCTGCACTCCAGAGTCCTTACCGCCACTCCTAGGGCTCTGTAATCCTTCTTCATACTCATTATCTTAATTCATTTAGGATACTACAGTTAATTCAGTGTTAAAGACAATTACTTCACCAGATTTACTGCCATATCTTGGCGAAGGTATCTAGTAACTGTAGTTTAGTCTATTCAGCTAAGTAAAATGAATTATCAGATTTTTCCTCACAAATTCTGTACTGTGGTAACGTACATGTTCACAATGTTTCACAAGCAATGTACTATGGTTTATCTATAGTCCAGTGCAATATCTGAGACTAGCATGTGATCTGATATTTGCATATATATTTTGTGATTATTTTATCAAGATTCATCTCATCTGAGAGGCTTAATATTAAATGACAGACTTATTCTGCATCTCTTGTGTGTGCATATATGTATGTACATATGGGCGCACATATTTCTGTTAACATCCTCATACATCAAGTGTTAATAGTTCCAGTACAGATTATCCAGTTTAGAAAACACATGCAATACACGTGGAGAGCAATATTAAAGGTGTACATTTGTTTCAGCACAATTGATAAGCTGATAATTCAGTTCAAAGAGACTTTTATCCTGGTGATTAGAATATTGAAAAGGTTAGGTGTGTTCATGAGAAAGGCACAGCTGTGTGGTCCCAACCTGCAACATTTGAAAGGCTGTTCAAGTAAATTGCAGCTCGCTCCCACACACAGACAGACAGATTTGGGTGCATTCTACATGTGGTATCTGCACTGCAAAGACTTTAAAAAAATTTGGGAAAGCCTTTGTTACTTTGAAGCATCCAATTTTTACCTAACCTTACAGCCTCTCTTTACAAATATAAAACTTCAAAATAACTTGGGTCGTTTTGCTGTAACCAGGGCTAAAAAAAGAATCTTCTACAGAACTTTTTCTAAAAGACTGCTGACTCTGTGAGGATGAGAATAAAACTCAGCAGCCTGGATCTTAGCTGGTGGCTTAGTGTCTAAATGTCCTGCTAAGGATCTGGCTCAGCTCTTTGGGGTGAAATCAAGCCCTTTTGACACTAATAGCAGAATTCCCACTGTCTCCAAAAAAGATAATTTCTCCTTCCAATTTTTCAGCCAAGTATGTGGTTCTACTTTATGATTCCAATGTTTGGGGAATGTCTGAGCCACTGGCTTCAGGTTTCCAAATGTCAGACATGTAGGAGACAGTACCACCTATCCAGATTTCCAGTGTCCCAGGTCTTACTACCAAGCATGAAATCTTTCTTTGGCATATCCCTCCTGTGCCTTAATTAATTGTGTGAGAGCATACATGCATCTGGTGTGCCAGACCGTGTCCCCAGGATGTGCATAGTAGTAGGGGAACGACAATGCAGCCATGTGCAATTAGCAAATGTCTTGCACTTTAGCAGCAGGTCTTTCAGGGTAGCTCAACTTCAGCCCGTGGTCTGGTAGTAGGGTCTAGGTTGCTTTATGATATTAGTAGGTCTTAAAGAACTTCAAAGCACATTAATGAAAATTAGCCTGAGTAATGCCAAATGGAAAGAGGATTAAAGGAAATGGTACTATTTGAGACTGTGTCAGAAGTCAGAGGTATCAGAGGACCCTTAGTCTTTGAAAGGTAAGCAACAAAAGCTGGATAACTGATTGTGATTCTTAGGAACATGGAATTTAGGACTTACACATCCTAACTTCCTTCTCTCAAGTTTATAAGAATCAGATTTACAACTACTCATCTATATGTTTTGTTCACTGAACAACTGTATTGCCTCACTTTATTTTTTTTTTTAAAAACTTACTTACTGTAGTATTGAAGCACCTTTAAGTTTATCAGTTTTAAATTTCTGAATTCTCTGGGGCAAGTGTCTTGAATTTTCTTAGTCCCCAGATCATCCCTTGGCCTTAACAAGCTGCAGTTGCATCCCTTCACTATGTGGCTTAGTGACTCACTGAGTCACAAATCAGACTGACCAGTTACATCTAGCACAGGAAGCCTCACAGAAAAAGAGAAGGCACAGCACTGCTCACACAAGGTATAAGCCTAACCACAGAGAAGCAAAAGGAGACACCCAGATGAAGGACACTTCTGTTTGTCGTCTGAGACTTAACCCATTCAAGATTCCACTGCAGAGGTCTCCATAGTACACATCAAGCTGGTTTATGGAATGATGAAGTTAGGAAAAGATGGTTACAAACAGTGATCAATCCTGATTTACAGTAGCTCAAACTGTGACAGAAATTGTATCATTAGACAACAACAGAATGCTTAAAAGATTCATGGATTTTGTTTATGCATTTGTACTTATTATTCCACTCAAGATATCTTTATCATGGAAGCTTAAACAAAACCAGGTCATGGCAATGCATGACGCTGTTGATAATCCATACCATGAGTGATCTTCCTGTGCTGCAAGAGCACAGATAAGTGTTCAGGAAGCTTTGCCCAACTCATTTAAAGTTTGCTCACACACATTAGGTGTCTGCCTATCTGTTCATAAATCTTTGACGTGTATGTCTGGCTGGTGTGTTGTGCCTGACGTGTGAACTGTGTAAAATACAGTCACAGGTTTTTATTACAGCAATACCTTTAATATCTCCACCAGCAGGTATTTTACACTTCATAGATAGAGTATAGAGTAGCTAATGCTGCTTTCCAGTCACAGCATATCACCTCTGTTCAACCCAAACGCTCTTTCAGTTCTCACTCTACTGTGCCAATTGTACTCCACATTACAAGTCTTCCTGACGGGGATTTCTTTTCCACAGGTAGAAAGGACCTAAGCTCTGGTTCAACATTCAGTGTAGTGTGACACGTCTTCACCTGAAGATTTTTCTCCTGAAAAACTCAGCAGATGAAGTACAGTGAGAGAAGGAAGCCCATCAGTCAGAGTGCTTGATGCCTTTCCTGACTCTCCATCAGCCTAGCTAGTCTGAATAAAAATCTTTCTACTAGGAGCACCTCTCACTGTAAGCAGAGAGGAAAATGGACCATCTCTTAGGTGGGAGTACTGGATGCCTCTTGAAAATTAGTTGTTATTATTAGCCAATATTAACCACACAATAAAGCCAGCTGTCTTCAGCCAAGCCAAAGTATTGCTGCAGTATGGAAGCAGCAGCGTAGAGCTGAGCAGCTAAGACACGTTAGCCCACTGCCTTTAAAGGAATGATGCTCTTCACCACTCAGGCCTGTCAGGTTTCTAACTTACATTGTGAGCTACTGCTAAAACCAGTGAAAAGATCCAAATCACATTCAGTCTTAGACAGAAAATAATATCAGTAGCTGTCGTGGTGGTCCACTGTTCCTGTTTTGACACTGGTTTTGCCCTAATTAGAAATAAGTAAAGGTTTGACAGCTCCTGCTTGCTCTTACTCCGAAATCAGTGCAGGCTGTGACAAGAGCTGGAAAACAAAAGCAGCACCCTGGGAATACTAAGGAGTTGTTTGCATACAGAAGTTGCACTGCTGAAAACATAATTCAATCCAGTTAGAGAGCAAGCCTTTTTTCAGGGATTCCCTAACACATAGTGATTTATAACTGTCTCTTGTAAATTTTCACACTCATACTTTCAAGCATAAGTCAAAAGAAGCAATCCTGCACAGACTTAACTAAATCAATGAAAAAAAAGCAAACCCACTTTCCATTCCATTGCTATAACTCGGACACAGATGAGTTCTAATACAGATCAGATACGACTTGAAAAATTCACAGCTTCTTGCTACCAGAGAAAAGTGGAAGGTGGTCCCATTTCATAAACTTGGTACTATCTGCTCGCTCGCTATATATTTTCCAGCTTGTCAAGAGCCCTATTTTATTTTTAAGGACAATTATGGGTCTTAAAGATATTAAGCTGCTCTTTTGGGGAGCCGCAACACTATTTTGCCTTAACATAAAGTACTAGATAATAACCAGATATGTTGCAAGACCTTCCTTCTCCTCTTGAACCTTCCATTCCACCAAAGGGGGCAAAGATTTCCTCAGACCTTTCTTTATTCACAATTTAGTCAAAACACAAGAGTGCAATAACAGAACACTGCAACTTGCTTATAATCACAACGCACTAGCATGACACCAATAGTCATGACACCAATATACAAGTTTGTCCTTCCTCAAGTTTCTATAGAACACAGAGATGCCTTGGACCACATGCTGGCTGGCTGAAATCAGCACCGTAGAAACATTTTTTCAAGAAGTCTAGAGCCTGGAGGGAAAAAGGGAAAGACAACTCCTGAATTAGAACAGTTTATCTGTTCAAGTGCTTGTACATAGGCTTCTCTGATCAAGCCCAATGATTACCCTGCATTCAGTTCCACCCTGAAAGCTTCACTCTATACATGGCTGCCTGAGCCAGCAAAGAAGAATATTTGACTGATCACAACACTACCCCAAAAATCAAGGGCAAACAAGAGCAGAGAGATAAATGAATTCAAGAATTTTCAGTGTAAATATGGGGGATATTTCACAGTGGTGTTTTCCCTGGCTGCCATGACAACAGCAGATTCCAGATTCAACAGCACAGTTGAAATTAAGGTTAGATGCTGTCTTGAACTCAACTACTAGTACCCTGTAGCTCAGAAAATTTTTCTTGCAACCCTTGGCTACAGCAATACAACATGACACAGCAGTGTACATCCAGTTCTCCCCACTCAAACCTGGTGTGAGATCTTTTCAGAGACCTACATTCTGGACCTACCTACTATGGCAGTTCTGAATCAGTAGCACACATATAGTACTTGGTTAGGCAGCACACAACCACTTGTTTAATTGGCTGTCTTACCTCTGCAGCTAAGTAGTTTCCAGTTGCCAAATGCTTAAATCTAAACAAGCTATTCCATTGTCCTGCCCCTCCCCGGCAAGGGTCATGATGGACAACCTAAGAGAAAAAGTACAGATTTTAATCATGCTCCTCAAGATCATACTCAGATCACTGACATTTCTTACAGCCCATTCCACATAAAAATATGTAAACAACTTAATTACAAACAGTCTACCACTGAAAGGAATTCGGTGCTCACACTAAGCCCACCATAGTTAACAACGACTTACATTTCTTTTTTGCCAGGTGCCAGGAAATACTCCTCCTATTACTTTCCATGTTTTCATTAATCTACTCCCTGCAAACATGATGAGCCAAATTTTGCTTTGAAGTGACATGGTGTGAATCTGGAGCTCAAGACAGTAAATGTAGCTGCTCTACACTTACATAGGCACTACTTAAAAGCAAAACTCAAACTCTCTTACATTGTTTCACCATTTACATCGGCTCTATTTTTGACAACACTAGGGGTTTCTGGTAAATTTTCATTTAAGTGATAAAATATCCCATATCATTTGAAATATCCCAAGTTATTTCTTTTTCCCCTTGACTGAGCTGCAGGCCATTTGCTACCTTCAAACCTAGCACTACCTGTCTCTCTTAAGGAGTATTCTCAAATAACTACAAGTGCAATATACTCTATTCCATACAGTCCTTACTCAGACAAAAATCAACCATTTGCCTGAGTGCACAGCTCTGTTTTAAATGCACAAAGTTCATCAGCACATAAGAACTTTTGGGTATAGGAGTTACATTATTGTAACATCAAGGGTTTGAAACATAGCGGTTTCCAATGTTCGTCAATTAAAGAAAAATATATTTGTTAGTCATCTCAAAATCACCCCCGTTCAGCAACAACACCTTTACTCAGCCGAACTTTAAACAGATGTTGATGTGCCCTGTTGCAAAAGAATGGACATGATCATATCTATGAGATTTCTTAACAGTCATTAACTTCAATTTTCTATATTGCACATGAAGTCAAATATAAACACTCAGAACTCAGGATACATGAGTGTCATTTGATTTGCTTTGATAAAATCGCACCATTTACGTCAAGTCTTAATTTGACTCTTTGTCATTTCAGTGCAGGTAAATATAGTAAGAAAATATCCTCTCTCCACACACATAGAGCAATAAAGCATCCCTTCAGTGTTCATCCTACACAAACCGCTTCATAAAATAATAATAGTTACGGGGAGGTGTATGATGATATCAAGAGGCTATGAATGATTCATGTTGTGGTAAAGTATTTTTACTGAACCCTGGTCTTCAGGTCCTAAAATATTTATAAAAAGAAAAAAATACCTCTATTTCCCACAGTGCTTTAGAACTTGTTGCAGAAGTGGCCGACTGACGTAATGTAGTACGAAGGAAAATATGTTGTTTCTTCCCATATTCATCACAGGTCAGAAACTTCTCTTGCTCTGCATGAAACAGCCTAACAACATCTCCCTAAAGTAGCATGAAAAAGAAGCATTATTAAGTGGTAGACAAAGCCACTGGACTCATCCTCTATATCTGTACTAGTTCCAGTGATGTCAACATAGCTGACATGAAGAAAACTATCATTAATTTTCTATTGATGAAGCAGGTATCAAGTACAGAGCATACAATCTTGGCACTGAGTATGGAAATCAAACAAGATAATTCAGTCCTGCAGGAGACCCATGCACTTTGAAAACAGAACTTCTTTCAGAGCACTGCAGTGAATAGTGGACAACAATTAACCTAAAGGTGATTTTTAATTCTAGCTAACTTTACCAAATGGATTTTTTATTTCTAATCTCTCTTACTATTCAGGGAAAGTGAACAGATTTTTCTGTCATCTTATTACCTCATCTCTTCTACTCTGCAACCAAAACCAATGCTCCCTCTCTCTATTTCTTCTGCTGGCATTATTTTTGCTTCCTTTTGCTCCTCCCCAAGGCTTGAAACACTATCCTCAAATGGGTCTACACAGATAGACCATTTTCCCTTTCAAATTCTTCCTCAAAAACTGCTGGTACCTTGATAGCTACTGAAAAACAGTTGATAATGACTTATTAAGGTACAAGTGAGGACAAATGAAATTTATTTCTTTAAAATGAAAACGTAAATGATGTCAGGGAGTGATCTGGAGGCATGAAGCTGTGCAATCCCTCAGCATTTAAAGCTCCATTGTCTTATTACAGCTACCGTCATCTTTCATGTCTCACTCGCTTCTGTAAGCTTATTATACCTGCTTTTAGTATCTTGACATAAACTGAAGCATCACAGCTGTTCTGTACAGAGCCCTCATCATTCTGGGCTTGAACTTCATCTTTTCTCATGGATCCTCTTTTGTCTCTGGGAGGGGAAAGGGGCTGGAAACTAGCACAATCCAGGCAATTTCACTTAGTAAGACAGTAACACAAAGGGAAAATATTCTGGGTGTTGAAGGAGAGTAGTGAGGGATCCTCAACAGCCCCATAAAGTCCTCTTTTCTTCTTTTATTCGCCATGTAACATTTCTCTACAGTCAAATATGGCATGATTTTTCTGATTCAAAAAAAAAAAATTAAAAAAATCATACTTACTCCTTTCAGTACGTCATCTCGATAACTACTGAATTTCATGAACAAAGTTATTTTCCAGCTTGTGTTACAGTTGACAGCATTTACCTTTGGGGAAAACAAAACAAACCAAACCACAATTACAGTCTTAAGGGATGTTCTTCTCTTTCTGAGACATTCTATACTTCTAAAAGACCACACCACATCTAGGGTGGCAGGAGACATGGCTTAGCTACATATTTGTAGAGTGCCTAACATGGCTCCTGAAGCTCTCAAGTGTTAAGAAGAATGATGTTCATGTTGGAGAGGATTCAGTGGGCAAAATGTTACTCTGTCTGTTGACAGCCTACCAAAGACGACCTAAAGAGCTGTTGGAAGAGGACTTACTCTTACATCAGTGAGAGTTTCAGATAATCAAGCAAACCTCATGAAGCCTTCATTGCCAGGCAGGACTGCACAAGAATAAGTATATTTCACCTTGTTTTTTTGAGGCCAAGCTGGAACCAATGTTTAATTCTGGCATCTAGCCCATGGTGGGCTCATAGTGGGTCTGGTTACCAGTAAAGAACAATATATAATACATCTCAGATCAGCAGTTATCTCTCCTCCCTCCACTGAACTCACCTCCTTGCAGCCAGGGTTATCTAGAAGCTCAATGTTGCTGGCATGTAGGGGCTGCCCTGCATTGACTGGCATGAGAACAACTTTGTCTCCCACAACAACCTGGAAGTCAGAAATAAAATGCAATTTAGACGTACGTAATTATCCAATAAAATGAAGTAATGTTACATTTTTAGAAAATGACTCAAATGCATGCTCTAGGAATGGCACTCAGTGAATTTATTTGCAGACAGTTCACACACCAGCCCTGTTCGTCTGTGCCTGTGCAATTGCTTGGGTTCAAGATTTCACATTAACGAACCCTGGCATTCTCAGTAAGCATGCCACCTGAAACTTGAGATCATGAAATAGATACGAACCTATGAATTACAAGAGCAGTTCACCTAAAAGTTACATTAACTACTCTTTATCCCATATGTACTGCCAGCCAAAAGGCACAGAAAGCTTAGAAGAATAATCTGTAGTCAAATAGCAAGACTCTTTTCCCTCCCTTGCTGTCAGCCAACCTTCTCCTATCAATGTGTTTTTCTTTTCACAAAAGCCTTAAAATTTGCCTGTGACAAGACTTCTTTAGCCCAGCAACGCCCCAACTCTGTGGACCACCTTCTGGCAAGTGTCATGACAGGCTCAGGAGTTCTGTGATTCAGACTGTACGACTGCAATCTGGAAAGGAACATAGATCACTGGAAATTCAGAGAGGCGAACACACCCATCCCCTCTGCTGTTAACCCCTAAATGGTGTTTGGAGCTCAGCACAGGCAGCAGATACATCAGCTGAGAGACCTTCCCTCTATGAGGGGAATTCCTAGCTGACTCCCTGCAAGCAAATTCCCATGCTCTTGCAATTTTTTGCCTATACAGACAGGGAAAAACAACATATGAAAATGTATTTGACCTAAAAAGTGCTTGAGACATGCATATGGATAATCCAATTCATATCTGGGAGGCGAAATTTTTTTTTTTTTTTTTTTTAATCAATCCACGTAGATTGGTTGGCATTGGGTCCTGATTTGCTTATGTTGTTCACAGCAATTTTAAGCACACACACACATGAAGACAAGTGGCTACATGTGATTTTTGCTATATGAAATGCTGCGCAAGCCATGCTTTCTTTGGAACACAAATAAACAAAATTGCTCTCTGCATTGATCAGCACATTTCTTATGAAAAAGCAGAGCCCAATTCAGCCCCATGTAACTTCAATGCAGGTGAATTTGGCCCACTTATTGGAGTGAAAAAGAAGGTTGCCTGTTCTTTACCAACACAGCTAAAATAAACAGTAGCAAAAGACGGTGTCATCATGCTCAGGCTACATGTAGAAGTCCTATTTGATCCAAGTAATGAGAAAAAGTTCACTAATGGAACCAAAATAATGACAAGATGCCTTTAAGATACATTACTTATGCAATACATTCCTGCATGCCATGCTTCACACAGACATTACTTACAGCCCATTTTAAGAAGTTATGACCAGACAATTCATTTATCAAAAAACCATCAGGCTTGCATCCTGCAAAGTGGAATCAGGACTTCAAAATTATTGCAAGTAAACCAGGACTATAACAACTTAATTAGTAAGAGAGCACATTATTG